TACTGAGCTCACACTCCTGTCCTTGGCTGTGCAGCTGTGGCAATTTTCATAGACCTATGCTATTTATGACTCTGCATATTTGTTCTAAAAGAACCATCTCATTTTCGTACTGCAACTGCCCACACTGGTCTGGCTGTTGCTGCGGTTTTTCCAGCAGGTCACCACACTGCCACATCACTGCAGAGCATCTTTCCTGAGTTCTCTGCTCACCCAATGTACTGAGGTTTCACTTTGGCTCATTCGTTCACTTTGTATCAAGGGCCAGACCCAGCCCAAGGCCCTGGGAATACTAAGGCCACATGCGTTGCAAATTCCTCCCTAGAAAGGTTTGCTAGCTCTGGGGAGCCCCACAGGCTGTGCATCATATCGGTTTTTGGCCTTTGGTGTTTGTCTCTACCTTCTTTCCTCTATTTTCAAACCAAATCCACTGGGTAAACCCGCCACTCTGCAAGTTTGTTTTGGTCTTTCCATTCACTCTCAAACCTTATAATATGACTGCACCTAATCATTGAATGCCCTGAGGTCTGGCTTCTGGCTTGGAGGAGGGCCCTCCAAGGTCACCAATCATTCACACCTGCTCCCCTTCCTTTCCTTGGGTTTCATTTATCTTTTGACCCTGATGACATAGGGTATCACACAAACACCTGTTCTTGTCTGCAGATGGGGCCTGCCCTGATCTCCCCATGCCTACCATCTGCCCCGCTCTCCTCCCTTCCCAGGTGGCTTCTCTCACTTCTTTCCTTAGGCTCCAGAACCCTTGATTGTTCCTGATCTTCCTTCTTTCAACTCCCACACCTACCCAATTTGAGAATACTATGGTCTCTCCCATCTGGGGATCAATCATTTGACAGATATCATAGATTCCCTTTGTGGCATCTTTTGTGTTGTTGACTGGCATAATTTGACAGTTCATGTAGATCATGAATAGTCCTTGTTCTCAGACATAATAAACAGCCCCTTCCTGTTGAATCTGCTAAGGATTGAATTTAAATCTGCCCCCCCTTTTAGTTAGCTAATGTGCCAGATCTGGTCTGGGAGCTTTCAGATCCATTACTTGTCCTTCCTGTTTCTCCTTTGTATTGCTGGAGGCTGAACCCTGTGGGCTGAGCTCCTTAGGATTCTGGGTCAGCTCGTTTCTGGAAAGAGTTGGCCAATGAAAGGTACAGAAATGGGAACTGGGAAGAGAGAAACCACAACATTTTCCCCTGTCCTTCCCTGTCTTGGACAGAATCTATGGAAGCTCTTCCATGACTCCAGTCCCTGATGGACTAGCCCACTGTGGGTCAAGCTTCCATGAAGTATTTTGGCTTCTGGTAACACCAATTGACTTTTTTGACTCTACACTTTAGGGAGTAGCATGTTGGACTTGCTAAAATCTGGGTGGTCTTGCCATCTCCTAGTAGCTATTTAGCTCAGTTGTTGCCTAAAAAATAATATAGAAGGTAAGCATTCCAGTGTCTGGAAAGGGGTCAACAATTACAAGCTATAATGTCATTAGTAGGAGATCTATCTCAATGAATCTACTATTCAATGAATTTCTACTTCCTGGTTGGACCATTGCTGATACAATTATCCTTCCTTCCATTTCTGATTGAGTTATTTAATGTTGTATAATAAGTTACTCTAAATTCAGTATTTTAATGTATTTTCTCAACAGGTTCTAGAAAGGATTCTGGGCATGGTTTAGAGCCCCTCTAGATCAAGGTGTCTTATGAATTTACAGTCAAATGTTGTCCAGGGTTTCAATCTCATTTGACAGCTTGTCTAGTAAGGGGAGTCTGTCCCCAAGATCGCTTGCTTAGAAGCATGGTCCCTTGCCATATGGACTTTTCCATGGGTTGCATCTATGACATAGCAGCTAGATTTTTTTTTTTTTAACTAAGGTGAGTGATCAAAGACAGAGAACACCAAGGAGAGACAACCCAAGACAGAAGTCACAGCCTTTTTTATATCCTAATATTGGAAGTGCCATTCCATCACTTCTATATTGTTTGTTAGAAGTAATTTAATAATAAGTCCAACCCACACTCAAGAAGAGATTACACAGGGTATGAATACCAGGAAGTATTGGTCATAGAAGGCTAGCTCCTTTCCTTTCTCTTCCCATCCCTTTCCTTTCTTCTTTCATTCTTTCTGGAACTGGGAGAAAACATAAAGAGATTGTTTTTGATCTCAGATTTCCCAAGGCCAATTCCTTACTCTTTAAATTTTGCATACATCTCCTACAACATCAGCAAGTTATAAATGAACTAGATTTCTATGGGCTGGTCTGGGAATCTAACATTTGTAATACTGTATGTATGGAAATCCATACCTGATATTCTACTTTGCAAATTTACAAGTACATTTTTTTGGATAGAATCCACTTGTAAATGGCCAACTTGCTGGAATAACAACAATCACAAGTCTGTTTTGGGGAGAACTGTTGGTTATAATCATCAGAGAGATTGTCATGCTCTTTTGGTTGGTTTCATTTCACCTGGAACTGATACTAAAGGAAGCATATTGTTCAGATTACGGATGCAAGTTCTTCAGCGCACCTGTTTTGGATGAACTGAAGCATGAAAGTCAAAAAAGGGGCAGTATTATTCCCTAAAAGATATCCATCCTTTTTGGAAATAGTACTCAATTCTATTTTTTTAAATGTCATTGAATTGCTGATGTCATTAGTAGGAGATCTATCTAATGGGCCACCTTTCTGCCAAACACATGATAGCAATCATTCCTATGAAATATGAGCTCCTTTCTAATATTGAGTTGTGGGGTGCTGACTGTATCACTCAAACAGGAGATGAGAAATGAAAAATATTACGTAGATCATCCCTGTACCCAGCTGTAAGATATGATATTCTATTTTTTTGACGGGTCTCTGTTTCATGGCAGTTTCTATGTCAGTCTTTGAAAAGAAGTAAGGCAATATAATGAGGGGGAAATTATAGCTTGAAATTGTTGACCCTTTCCCAGACACTGGAATGGTTACATACTGTATTTGCCATAAATATGGATGTGGACATCTGCCTACTTCAGGAGTTACCCGTGTATTAGACAAAACAAATATATTTGGGCTCTACTTAAGATATATGTGCCTTTAGAAAGCACAAACATAACACCAGTTTTTTGAAATTGATTTTTAAAGGTTATAATCAAATCCTCTGATCTATTCTTCTTATCACCACAATAAGAATAATTTTTTTTTTTTGAAAGGGACTGTCCTAGAAGTTAGGGCTTGGAATAGTCACTACATTTACTGTACTATGCTAAGGCAAGGTAGGCCAAGGGGACAGAAGAAAGTGCTGCCCAGGGGCTTAGGGAAAGGGATTGCATAGTTTGGAAAGCCAGCCAGAAACCCACACTCAAAGGCAATTTCATAATGATCACAGCAGGAATTTTTGTGGTAATTTTGCATATATGACTTTCATACCTAATTTTCAGTGCTTCTGCACATGTGCTCCATATGTTTACCCCAAAGCATTTTTGGCTTCCAGCTGGAACATGCTCAGAAACGACCTGTGACATTTTCACATTCACAAATGAAAAGCACTCATATCTATCCTTCAGTGTATCCACAAATGGCGTCCGTTTACTTTGGTGTCATTTTCCGTTCTGCTGCCATTTCATAGGAATAGGTTGAAAGGTGCCCCTAAGGTGATCTTCATGGGGCCCAGTAAAGCGAAGAGAGCCAATGTAAAGACAGAGGGCAATTGTTGTAAAAGGTCATAGCTGCTTTCATCAGGTGACATATGAACTGGTGAAAAGGTACCACATCTATGAGAAGAAAGAAAAAAAAAATAACAACACGACGGGCAGAATCAGTCACTCTGCATCCATAGTTCCATATCCCATGCAGCTTTGCAACCAGCCTTGCTGCTGGTGAGACAGACTCTATTTGCTTTGGCCGGAGCAGAATTTTTTCCTTTTTAAAAACATGATTTAAAAAAAAAAAAAAAAAAGCAGAGCACGAAAGCACCCTGTCTTTCTCGAAGGAACGTGTGCTGATAATTAAAATTTATGAGTACATTCTTATAGACTAATTCATCTTAATGGAAATATTGCTCTTCCAGGGTTGATGAGGTCAGAGGCTATAGCAGTCACCACGGGTACAGGCTTTGGGTGGGGTCTGTCCAAGAAGGGTAGGTTGTGGGATTGTAGAACTTTGCTGAGAATGTCCTAGACTCACACCTTTGCTGCGTGGCTCTTCTCAGATGCATTTTGGGACCTCAATAGAGTCTCCTAGTGCATAACTGGGAGGCAACTGAGAGGCCTCCTTTGATCACAGAGGTGCCCACCAGCCCTTCTTTGACCAAGCAGGCTTAATCCAAGATCTTTGGAAGGACTGGTTGCTCAGGTTTTTTTTTTTTTTTCCTATTGCATTAGAGACGTCAGTGAAGAGAGTTTACATGAGCCAACAAATTGGAGCCAAATTACAGACATAATTTAAAACATTTGTAAAACAAACAGACTCACTCTCTATATATTTATATAGGCAGTCTTCTAGACACTGGAGTTTGAACTGAAAATGATATGTATGTGAGGATTTGGGGAATGATATTCTATTTAGTTTTTCTTTGGGTGACTTTAATTTTTTACTGTTAAAAAAAATCTGTGTGTTTTTGTAACTAACAGCAAACACCCTTCACAATATTGGCACATTGTTTTGCAAGAAGAGTGTTTATTATTAATAATTAGCTAAGTTTGCTGGTTTCACTCCTGGGTTTTAGTCCTGGCTCTGGAATTAGGCAGTAGCTGTGTGGCCTTGGCCAGATCACTGAATTTTTTTTTTTTTTTACTTTCATTTCCTGCTCTATCACATAAGAGGATTAACATAGATCAGGGATTCTCAAACTGTAGACCTCAGTCCATTAGCAAATCATGAAACCAGTTTAATGAGTTTGTGATCAGCATGAAAAATAATAAAAATGAATGGAAATGTTAGCATGCAAAATGTTAGCATGCATTCCATATTGCACAACTACGTATGCTTTCATTTTGGTTGCATCTATGCTTATTAGTTAAGTGTATAGATGGTTGCCATAGTTTCTTACAATGGGGTGAAGTTCAAAAAGTTCGAAAACACTGAAAGAGATTATCTCCCTGGGGTCCCTTCAAATTTTAAATGCAAGACTCCTTGAGACAGTATCCCTAGCCACATACATTAGTGCAGATCATAAAGATTATTAGTATAATTATAAAGATCATAAAGATTGGAGTTCAGTGGAGAAACTAGGAGTTGGGGAGCATGCTAGCACCACCCTCATCAGGAGGAGCCTTTGGTCAACAAGGAGAGGAGGGGGCTCTCAAGAGAGGGCGTGTGCACTCCATTACCTTACTGGCTGAGGTCTGGGAGAAATGCATCCAGTTGTGTTTACAGGGTGTTGCTGAGATCCTAGTTACACAGCCTGTCACCTCTTCTCACATTCCTCTTTCTTCCCTCTCCCCTGAAAAAAGGGCCTGTGGAGGGAGAAATGACCAAGGTTATTGTTGGAGTGGTCTCAGACATAAGGAGAAATCACCAGTTGCATTTTTCCTCTTGTTCTCCTTGAAAATCCAGAATATAAAGTATCTCTACAAATGGAAGAGATCTCTGAAGGACTGACCACCCACAAAGTCATTTGAAGATCAAGTGCCTTGTATCTAAAAAATATTCCTCACACAACATTGACTTGGTTCCACCTATTCTGGAAAAGATTTTGGTCTTGGAGGAAAATGGTCAGAATCTTTAACAAGATACCTCTTGCTTCCAAGAAAGCAAGAAAGATTTTTGTGGGCACCAGATCCCTCGTTTCCAGTGAATTCTGGCCCACAAGGAGTAGAAGATAAGTGTCTCCCCTATCCCAATTTTTTTTTGTGTGTAAAAAATAAATAGTGTTATTCCATCTTTCTCTAATTTACCAATAGAAAAGCGTGTCTTTTCATAAAAGTGCCATATTGGCCAGCGGTGATCCTGAGGGGAATTATTGATGGCAAAATTCCAGTAGAGGAAGTTTTGTTGAAAGTGTCACTGAAAGAGAAAAGAAGTGAAAGGTGTCTGGAAAACTAGAAAGTTGGAATTCTAGGCAGAGGAAATAAAGCATCTGATATTCTGTATCATGCAAAAGTTTTTGTTTTCTTTTTTCCTTTTGCCACTGTTGGTGTGTTGATGTCATTGAATCTCGAAATCAAAACCCCATCAGCACAACTTAATACTGTGACTCAAATGAATAAGCCAAACTGACTCCAGAGCAGAGTTATCCCTGCTATATAAGTTGGCAGATCTGAATTGAGCTACACTGAAAATGTGTCTATCAGCTTTTCTATTTAACAAGAGATTGCCTGATCTTGAGTAAATCAAACACTTTACTGTGACATTCACAATCTATGAGAAATAAAGTTATAACAAGTGAATCATTCTGGGAGATTAAATGAAGTTATAATCCATTATCCTCCCTTTTACTCTTCTTGCATTATTTTAGAGAAACAAAATTTTCAACTCTAAAAGTTCAGAAACTTTTAGAAAATACCATATGATTCTGTAGGTAATATTTAAAGGGATAATGCTTAAAAAGACATTTGTGCCATTCATTTTTTTGTTCTTTTTAGATATCTATGACAACAGAGTGTATTTTGACATATTGTACCTACATGGAGTATAACTTACTCTAATTAGGATCCCATTCTTGTGGGTGTACATGATGTGGAGTTTTATTGGTGAGGTACACATATATGAACATAGGAAAGTGGTTCATGTAGATCTTTGGTGAAGGTGACTTCTCCAAAAAGATAATCAAATCAAGTTGTTGGGTAAAGCATGAAAAGAAAGAAAAACATTGAATTTGATGCTATAAGTTAGTCTTTTCTATGCTTTAAATATGCTATCTCATACTGGTCTATCAGATTTTTGTTTTTGTTTTTGTTTTGTTCCTGTACTGGTGATTGATCCTAGGGGCATTTTACTTTTTAGCCACATCCCCGACTCTTTTTATTTTTTGAGACAGGGCCTCACAAAATTTCTGAGGCTGGCTCCAAACTTGTAATCCTCCTGCTTCAGCCTCACAAGTCACTGGGAGACTAGATTGAACCCAAGCGTGCTTTACACTGAACCACATCTCCAGTCCTTTTCATTTATTCATTTTTATTTTGACACAGGTTCTTACTTGTTTTCCAGGCTGGCCTCAAACTTGTCCTCTTCCTGCCTCCTGAGTTACAGGTAGATGTCACCAGGCCTGGCTTAGATTATCTCTTTAAAAATAAAAACGAAATTTAAAAATTCCTCCAAAGAATGTCAGGCTACATCATACATCTGAAAGCAAAAGTATATATATATTTTTTCTTTCCGCACCAAAGGACAGGGTCAGAATGTTCTTGACAATTTTAACACCTTTGGGTAATTCTTTAACTCTTTACAGGATACTTACTCTGATGCATGAAAAAAGTACTAGGAAAGTTGCTTCGTGTAAGTCTGTTCTTCACTCTGTTTTTATCTTCCAATTTTAGCACAGTGATCCATTCAACAAATGCTAACAGAATGGCTGCGATGTGTGTGTGCTGCTGCTTTGGGATCTAGCTGTGGAAGATAAAGCCCTTCCCTCAGGGAGCCTACAGTCTTGGGGACACTGGGGGAAAACAAACAAGGAGTGAACAGATCCGATGTGAGATGGTGGGAAGTGAGGTAAGGGGGCTCTGTGATCACTGGGGTGGGCGTGTTATTTCATATAGTTTCAGATGTGGTTCCTTAAGTGGTGGCTGTATCATTATTTCATTATTTGCTAAAGAAGAAGAAGAAGAAAAAAAAAACTATTGCTAAAGAAAAGAAACAAGAATGTGCATGTGCAGGAAGCTATAACAGCTAAGGCCATAAGCAGACCTCTCAGACCCAAGGGAGACTGAGAAAGGAAATCAGATACCAGGTAGGCTGAAAACCAGGTTGAGGCTGCACCAATTTAGTACCTGGCCTTTCCTTGTAAAGGTCTGTGCTGCATGGCATTCCTCAGGGTTCATGGGATTTCTGATGTCTCCTGGCAAGGAAGGTTGCAGGGAAAAGAGTCTTTCCCATTCTCTTAGAACAGGAGGGACAGAAGGGAATGAGACCAATCAGGGATTGCAGATCTGAGCAGCAGCTACCACATTTTGTAGACTGCCAGCGACTGGGCTGGTGGACATCCTACTACAGAGAGCAGAATTTCTCTTTTCTTGTATAGAAAAATGCCTGAGGTCAGAATAGAACCTGGAGTAAAGAAGAACGATTCAAGCAGAAATGAGTTGGTATTTATGTGGCTCCCAACTGAAGGATTTAGACAGGGTGAAGATGCTTGCATGGATGGCTCTTTGGAGGTGGGTGGCAGAGGGAGATACATCTTCTGAAGGTCCCAGGAAGGGGCTTGTACATTTTAAACAGGGCATTAGTAAGACACACTAGAGAGTTCATTTTATAAGATCAGTACCTAAGGGGTAAAACGAGTACTGATGACGAAGGTGAGAAGTTGGGATCTTCCTGAACACATGTTGGAAAAGTTAAATAGCTTGAGATTTGCAACAGAATTTTCCAGGGATTTTTAAGTGTCAGGTCTATGGTCTGATGCTAATTTTTGATCAATACTTTTTCATTAATGTGGAAAATTTTGCCTTTTCTTTTGATCTTACCTTCAGACCCAGGGTGCACAGATAGATAGCCACGCTCCAGTCCTGCTCCTCCACTTCCTCTCGCTGGAGACAATGATCTATATTGAACATTTCATTTAGAGCACTCTATTTTGAACAAACCTTTAGGAAAGATCTTTCCCAGGAGTAGGTATGATTCAGCAAACAAGCAGGTCTGAGCTGTTTTCAGGAATGAAATGTCTTTTACCATCTTCTGTTCAATTAAACTAAATTCAGGGAAGAGGACGGATTTTTCTAGGCAGGATTGAGTTGGGTTCAGTCTGCTCTAAGTCCCCATTCTCCTTGGACCATAAGTCTTGGGTGTCTATGAACTCTTTGTTAGAATTTGGGGGTGGCTGACTAATCTGATCAGCGTGCTTCATCCTTGACTTGTGCTATCTGGGTCATTAGTTCCCTTCCTTTTGTTAAGCTGCATAGGTGATAGCCACCCTTGGGGATTTAGTTTTGATTCTTGACTCTATGAGGAACCATCTGTGAGCTCAGTGAGAGGGCTCAAGGGACCCTACGGAGAATGTGGGCAGGTCCTTTTGCTTCAAATGTCATTAGCTTCCAACCACAGCTTCTTACTCTGATTGATGGCTTCATCTCTAATGTGACACCCAACTTTTAAATTTTCCTAATTTTTTTTTTTTGGCTGAAGAAGTCTAAAAATGAGCTCACAAGCTGAGAAAGAACCCTGTATGAAACACTATTCTGATGTCTACTATTGGATAAAGTTTATCTAATATTCTTGCTTTTTTTCCCCTTCTTTGTATGTGATCTAGAGTACGAAATTTTACCCCAAGTTTATAAACATGACTTAAATAGAATTTGAGCTTCTGATTTAATGTCAGGTTCAGAATGCATGGCTAACAGTTCTTATAGAAGAAACTTGGGCCTTTATGTCTCTTTCTTCATATATGTGAGTATAAATATGACTCATTCTAGTTTAAATCTGTACAATATTAAGTTTGTAACCAAACAGCAGTTCCTTATGCAGTGTCTGATACCTACATTACTGCCTTTGACAGTAATGAACTTGAACTTCAACAGTAGACTATCTCTGTAGTATGACTGTAATACAATTCCTAAAACAGATTGAAACCATAATAAATTGCCATTTTTGTAGTTCAAAATGGCCAAATATTAACGATTTGATATGGTTCAATATAGTATGATATTTACTCATTCTGCAAAGCCTTGAGTGCCTCATTATGTATTAGGCCAATTGCAATGGAAGATTAAAAAATGAGAATGACATGGTTCCTCCTTGGCATTTCTAGTCTATCTACCACAACTTGACCACCACAGAGAGAGTAATTTTCCCTTTAGAAGACGAAAGCAGCTCTCTGGTTTAAAGGAGGAGACCATGGTTTAAAATGTGTTCCTTATATCATTAGAGTGCCTTGAGGTCCATAGAGTCTCATTACAAAATCTCACCCTCAAAGACTTTTGGTTCCTCAAAGTCTCATGAACTAAGGTCAGAGTCTTTAGTGTGGCCTTCAAAGTACTATCTTATTTTATTCCTTTCCCCTATGTTTAAAATCACTGCTTTTCCATTTTTTGCTATTTCTTCTTCCTGGAATATATTTTTTTTATTCCCACTTCAAAGGCAGTAGATGTAGTGATTGAGTATGGGCACGGACTAGAGTCTGGGTTCAAATTCTATGGTGTAACCCCTGGAAAGCTGTTTGATCATTGAGTGCTTCAATTTACTTACCTATAAAAGAGGGACAATATTAGTGCAGCCTCACAGGACTGTGAATGTTCAGATCTTGAATGTCCCCCAAACCCCCATCTGTACAGGCTGGGTTCCCAGTGTGGTGTTATTGGGAGATGGTGGACCATTAAGGAGCAGGGCCTAGTGGGAGGACCTTAGGTTATTGGGAATATGTACTCAAAGGGGATTGTGGGATCCTATACCCTTCCTTTTAGGTTTTTGCTTCCTGCCCATGAGGTGAGCAGTTTGCCACATCATGTGCTTCCTGCCATTGCTATCCAGCACCCACACCAGAGGCCTAAAAGCAATGGGAAGGCTTAAAACCTTTAAAACCATGAGCCTAAATGAGCTACAAGTTAATTATCTCAGGTATTTTGTTACAGTGATGGAAAGCTGACAACTGTACATGTTAAATCATTGATTATATGTCAGCCCTTGGTAAGTGTTGTTTATATTATCACAACAGTTGCAACTCTAAATCTCCCTCATCTTTGAAGGCTCCAGATGAGGATCACCTTCTCCCCAAGCCTTCCTCCTGAGTTCCTAGGTGCAAGTTCACCTTCCTTTCTCTGGTTTCCCTTGGTATACCTGTTAACTGTTATATGCACTCATTGTTTTTAAGCCTTTGTATCTTATCTCCTCTATTAATCTGTATACGTTTGAAGGTAGGAACACCATAATGCAATGGGTTTCTGTCACCGATTACCCAGAGCTGACTCTGCAGACCCTTCAGGTTAACCATACAGTTTTCCACAAAACTGCCTTTATTTCAGATTCAGACACCAGCTCTCTCAGGAAGACCCCCAGACCACCTACACTTCTGATCTACCAACTCAGAGGGTCCCATGACCCCATCAGTCTTGATTACTTGCTACACAGAATTCAGGAAAGTGCCGTACTTCCGATTATGGTTTTATTATTTAAAACACACAAATCAGGATGAACCAAATGAAGAGACACAAAGTAAAGGATCTCAAACACAGTTTGTGTCCTTATCTTATTGTGGACTCAGAATATCTGTCCTCTGGACACATTGTTATGTTCACCAAATGGGAAGCTCATTCAAGTTACAGTGTTCAGAATTTTTATTGGGGTTCCATTAATGTAGGCATGATTGTGTGAGTCACTGGGCACCTGATCAAACCCAATCTCTAGCCCCTGTCCCTTCCCTGGAGATGGGGGTGACATATCACTTGACTCAAGGCCTCAATCCTCTAACCACATGGTTAGTCCTGCTATCATGAACGGTCTTCATCCTAAGCCATCTCATTATCCTAAATTCAGGTATGGTCAAGGGGCCCACCATGAACAACAAAGTGCTCCTACCCCCAGGAACCTAGGACACAGACCAGACCATTTCTTTATTATAAACAGAAGCCATATCTGATTCACCTTCGACTCTTCTCCAGTGCTTAGTGCAATGCTCTGCACACAACACTCATGTTTATTAAAACAATGACAAAGTGGGCTTTAGGAAGCCAACACTAGCAATTTGCATAGGATGGATTGCAGAGATCAGTTAAGACTGTTGCAAGAGAACTGATGCTATTTCTTAGACTCTTTCAATATTCTGTTGGTGCTAAGATTGGGGAAATGTAAACTACAAAAGTTAAATTGCTCTCATGCTCCCCCCTCCCAACTGCAGTAATTTCCTGTATGTTAAACTTTTTCAATTAAGCCCTCTACTAGGAAGTTAAAGACCTTGTGTCTTCTCATACATTTAACTGATTAACAGCTTGTGATAATGTTTTAATATTATCATATTGTTATTGATAGTTCTCCACACCAACATACCATGATGAGGAGGATTTGCTTCAAAATAATCCTGGAAGTGGATGGGGGAAGATACAAACGAAGCAAGAGTGATCAAGAGTTACTAATTATTGAAAGTGATGATGGGTGATTAGTACCATTAAAAATAAAATAAAATAAAATAAAGAACTATAACGTTACTAATTGTATCCTCCACAGGCTCCATTCCCATGGTCCTTCCCTCCATCTCCCACCAGTAACCATTATCCTAAATTTTCTCTTTATTAATTTCCCTGCTTTTAATCACTTGATGAATTCCTTAAAAATACATTGCTTGGTAAAAGAGAATAAAATCATGGCATTTGCAGGTAAATGGATGGCATTGGAGAATATAATGCTAAGTGAAGTTAGCCAATCCCCCAAAACCAAATACCGAATATTTTCTCTGATATAAGGAGGCTGATTCATAGTGGGGTTGGGAGGAGGACCATGGGAGGAAAAGACAAACTCTAGATAGGGCAGAGGGGTGGGAGGGGAAAGGAGGGCACACGGGAATAGAAAAGAGGGTGGAATGAGAGGGACGTCATTACCCTAAGTACATGTATGAAGGAACGAATACTGTGAATATACTTTGTATACAACCAGAGATATGAAAAATTGTGCTCTACATGTGTATTATGAACTGTAATGCATTCTGCTGTCATATATAACAAATTAAAATAAACGATTTGAAAAATACACTGTTTAGTTTGGCTTGTGTTTGAGCTTTGTAAAAATGGTATCATATTACAGTAGTCTCTGGGAACTTGCTTTTCTTTGTTCAACATTGTTTCTAAGCTTCATTCATAACTTTTTGAGGAGCTGTAATTGATTCATTTTCACTGCTATATAATAATCCATGGTGTGAATGGACCCCAATTACCACTGATTTGCATTATCTGAATCTGCTTACGTTGTCATACTTGTGAATTTTGCCAACCTAGTGGGTATAAAATCTTTCATGGAAGTCTAAAATTGTATTTCCTTGTTACTATGAGATTTAACATGGTTACCTATGCTCATTGGCTATTTCTTTTTCTGTGCAGTTCCTTCTTATACCTTTTACTATTTTTTTCCCTTATAAGGCTGTCTTTTTTCTAACTGATTTTGTAAGATTTTTTTATATATACTAAAGCAGTGTTCTTTACCATTTTCAGAAAAGCAAATTTGTAGTTGTAGCTGGACAGCATGCAAATTTATTTTATTTGTTTATTTTTTTATGCAGTGCTAAGGATCGTACCCAGTGTCTCACATATGCTAGGCAAGTGCTCTGCCACTGAGCCCCAGTCTCAGCCCAGTATTCCTTATCATCTATCAATTTGTTCATCTATACAATTTTTATTACAAAATATGTTGTTCATTTCTTTCATGTTACCCAGGAAGAAAACTAAAGTGTAGAAGGGAAAAGCAACTTGCTTAATACCACAATTTGTTTTTAGCAATGCTGAGGTTAGCACTTGGACTTTTTACTCTAAATTAAATCATGTTCCTATGATACTGTGATAACCTCTTTTATTGGTTTGTCTCATTTTCATTTAAAAAATTAAAAAGAACCCAAGTGATACATGTTCATGATAGAAAAAAGAAAATAAAATCCACACAATGAAGAAAATAAAAGTCAGTTTTGATATAAGCAACTACAGTTTATATTCTCTATTTGCTCTCCATATAAGAACTATAGCAGATTGTTAGTTAATATGGAGTGCTTGCAATGTATTAATTATTACAGTGTGCTTATTATGTGTCAGGCATTTTCTAAACACAATACACGTTTCTTTTAATCTTACCTAGGATTCTGGGTAACGGTGATGTAGATAATCACCGTTGGCCAGAATGGCTAGCAAATGACAAGGCAGAATAATAGCTTCCCAAAGTTTCCATATTTTAATCTCAGGAACATGTGATGACATCATGTTACATGGCAAAGGAAAATTAAGGTAGCAAGCAAATGAAGGTTAAAATGGGGCAATTATCCTGGATTCTCTAGATGGACCCAATGTAATCAAAGTGATCTTAAATGTGGAAGAGGGAGGTAGAAGCATCACTGTCAGAGTGATGCAATGTGAAAAAATTTCAACCAGCCATCACTGGCTTTGAAGACAGAGGAAGGGGCCATGGGCCAAGGAATGAGGGCAGCCTTTAAGCACTGAAAGGGTACGAAAACAGATTTCCCCCTGGAGCTTTCAGAAGGGATTACAGCCCTGTGAATCTCTTGATGTTAGTCCAGTTATGGCTAACCTTGATGTTAGAATCATGCAATGGAGAGATTATCATGGATTATCTAGGTGGGCCCAATGTCATCACCAGGATCTTGATCTGAAGGAGGCAGGAGGATGAGAGTTAGGGAGAAGATATGATGACTAGTGCAGAGGCTGGAGCACTGCTCTTTCAAGGTTGAAAAAGGAGCCAGGGCCAAGGACGGTAGAAAGGCTAAGAAACTGATGTGGGATAAGCTATAGGAGAAGCCTCCACATATACTGTTGAGCATCTGGAGGGAGTGTGGTCTGACACCCTGATTTGGTCCAGAGGAACCCATTTTGGACTTCTGATTAACTGTAAGAGAATAAATTTGTATTGCTTTAAGCCAGGAGGTTTGTGGTGGTTTGTTACAACAGCAACAGCTAATGAATACACCTAGTTTAGAGCTGGTCAAGGCCACATGGCTAGCAAGTGACAGGCAGCATTTGAACCCAAGCCATCTGACTTCAGAGACCATCTCCTTTACCACTATATTTACAGATATATAATATATCTGTATATATGTATGTATATATGTATATACACATATATCACATGTACTATATATATCTCATATATATATACATATATACATATACACACACATACACATACACATCTGGGTATATAGATTTAATTAGTACAAACAATTCAATACATGCAAATCTTCCATATTATTTTAATAGTTATCTAGCATTAGTATATAAAATTTTTTTTTCATTGAACATCCTTGATAATGGACATTTAGGTTGTCTCTAATGTTTTGATATCATAAAACTGACAGTGACAAACGTTTATCTCTTTAATGATATTAATTATTTCTTTGGGAAAAACTTTTAGAATATCAAAAGAAGTACATTTTAGAAAAAGGCCAAATTACCACCAAAAAGATTGCACTATAATATAATTTAAAACAAATCATACAACTGGAGTAGGAATATATCTGCCTTCTGTTTCTGCAGTTTTTCCTTTATTATTGTGTTTTTCCTATTAGCGATATGCACTTGACATAATTGTTTTTGTTTTTAGCTATACCATGATTTCTTCTGTAGAATCTTTCTCATTTAAGTTAAAGCAAAAGGGTATTTAGAAGTCATTTAAGTTAAAGCTTCCCAGGCTGAGAGAGGTGAACACTCATCAGGCTGCCTGGAGAAAACAAACCCACAAGCCTGACTCCAAGTCCAGCTGTCTTTCCTCATCTGCTGCAAATGTCATGATTATAGCCCCCAGGTTGGTACCATTATTGATTTTTCCCCCCTTCAAATCATGCGAGAAATCTCTTGTCCTTTTAATCAGAAGGGTACTATAGGGCTGTAGGACAAGAGGCTTCCACATACTGGTGCTGAAACAAACTCTAGCTCTTTCCTGGAGCAATCGTATTTTTTTTTTCTCCTGTGAAATTTGGTAGGATTGATGGCAGACAATACCCACCCTCCCATATTTTAATAAGAGTTCTTAGAAGGGATAATGGGACATTTTTCATCATCCCCTTTTGCCTTTTATCCTAACTTGGTTCCCGCGTTCCCCAGTAACACCAAGGTAACTTGTCCTGGTATCTGATGTACACAACGGCATGCAAACTCTTTCTTCTCTCTGAAGCAAACAATGAAATAGGAAAGCACACTGCCATTTTCTGACTGACCTCAATCGCTGAGGGTGGACCCCACACGTTACATCAGCAGGCCGGCTCCATTACACTGCCCTGCGCTGTGCTCGAGCTACTGAAATATTGATTTTTACAGAGCCGGCGCACACACACTGAAAAATCAATATTCCAGTGCACACAACAGAACAGGCGGCAGAGCCGGGACCAACTCCGAGGCCCAGCAAGCACTGCCGGCAGGCCTCGGCCAAGCAGGGGGTGGAGGGCTGGAGGAGACAATGCCTGGGGAGAGGCCCCAGCAAACCCGGGAAGGGTCAGATAAACAAGTCAGTGTGGAGAGGGAAGAGAAAGGAGAGTGGAGAGAAAAATCCTTGAGGATAAAACAGTTGGAAGGAGCAGAGATTTGTCTTTCCATAGGGGGAAATAGGGAGAAGGAAAGAGTATATTAAGAAGAGAGAATGGGAAGAATTTTCCAGGTAAGAATCTTCCCATGAAAATACTTCTTTTGTTTTTCTGTATCATTCGGCCAGACTTAGATGAAAAAATTATAAAGATGACACAGATACTTTATTAAACGAAGAGGAAATAACTAGGCCAGTTCTGGGGGAAAATTTTTTTTTTATATCTCAGCCCCTTTTTTCTTTGGTGATTGGAGGCTGGGAGACCTTATGATAGCCACCAAAGAGTCAGCATTTATAACGTGGGGTCTATCTTTGCAATGCCATTTACTTTCTTTTCCTTGGGGAGGGGAAGGGAAGGAAAACATCCTGGTCATGTGGTCACTCATTGATTCCCTTTATTCTACAAAAGCAGCTTCTCTGGCATGCTTGGGGATGACATTCAGAATTGATTCCTTTTACCTACTCCATGACTTCTTGGGGAGTTGGGAGCTTCCCTGAGTCACACCTCCTTCCAGATGTGGGGAGGAGAGCACGACTCCAGGTTGTACTCTTGGGTGCCCAGTACCCAGTAGAAGTCAGAGTGGAAACCCAGTGGCCTGTAAAATTTTTAGAAAAACGTTAAAAAAAAAAAAAAATCCAGAACTGGCATTTGCTACTTTCAGTTAGCTTTCTGGCCTCTTTTAAATTGTGGATGGGTGGTGGGCAGTTAATTAAAAAGGACGACTTTTAACTTTCGTGAATTCTTGATTTTGCTTTTTCCTAGAATTTTCTTACCAGAAATCTCGCTATTAGTTCTTTCAACTCCCAGTCAAGGGTAAGAAACTGTCCTCCCCGGTTGCCAGAGTACCTGCTGGTACTCTTCCCAGACGGCAGCATCGCTGCTTCTTCTTTCCTAGCCCAGAAGAGACCCAGGCCCAACGTAGGCTCTGGCCTGGGATCCTGGAAGGGGTGCCGGGGGTAGCGGGCATTCTGTGGCACCTTGCAAAACCCGGGTCCTTTGGGCCAATGGGGCTGGCTTGGGCCAGCGTTCAGCAGACTGTTACTGCAGGCCAAACCCGAGGAGTGGCAGCGGGGTGGGCGGGAGGGCGGGACAGGACGTCTAGCCAGGTGGCCACCTGGAGTGCCCCGCCCTCCCAGCCCCGCCCCCGACCGAGCTGGCGAGCCGCGCCCCCGCGCCCGCCCCGGTGACCGCCCCCAACCCAACACTGCCGCTCTATTTGCATAAGGAGGTGTCTCTGGGACCCGCCCGGGGCGCACGTGACCCCGGGGGAGGCGGAGGGAACCTGCTGACTTGACACGAGCCGCTTTGCGGCTCCCCTTGGCGCGGAATAGCGAGAGCAGCCGTGACCTCCGACCCCGCCCGCCGGCAGCCAATAAGAGCGCAGGTCGTCTCCAAACCCAAAATTTCCACGTCGGCAAAAGTCAAGATGGAAGGGAGCGGAGCGGAGCGCAGGGGGGGAGCCGGCCCGGGAGTGCCTGGCGACCGGCGCTGAAGGGACAGGCTGGGGACCCTGTGGCGGATGCACAGGGGACCATACGCGAGGGTGTCCCGAAGGGGCCAGGCCGGAGTGCGACCACCGCCCGTAGCCCCAGGAGACTCTGGACGCCCCGCACTTCTCCAGCCGCCTGTGCACCCTGGCCCGAGATCGCAGCCCACTGCACGTCCGGCCCGGGCTCATGGGGGTCGTAGGGGACGGGACGGTGCGGGGCGGTGGGGAAAAAGATGGGGAAGGCACTTTCCAGACCTGTTGCATGGGCGCAACAGCTGTTCCAGCGCGGTATGTGGGGGGAGGGGCCTGCCGGGGTCCGGAGGGAGGGTGGTCGGAGGTACTTAAGGGACTGGGGGTGCAGGATCAGAGCGAAGAGCCGAGGGCCGGTGTTGGGGGGCTGTATGCAAGAAGAAAGGTTGTGTGTAGACGGGGTACGCGGGAAGCTCTGCTTAATAGGAGAATCCCGAAGAGTGGGTGGGTGGAGCAGAGGGGACCGAACTGCATAGACACTAGTTCCCTTGGCTAGGCGCGGGCTGCTGCAAGATCGGGAATAGAACAGTGGAAATGGCTGGGTGAACTGGAGGCCCCGCAAAGCCTCGCTTTTCAGGCTGTCTCATCTGCGGGGCATTTCTCGGGCCTGTGTTTGCCCACTCCCCATCTTCCAGCTCCGGGCATTCGTCCTTATGTAGCCCCCCTCCCCCATCAACTTTCCAGATGGGAAACTAAAAAGTTGCCACAAGTTAGGAGTGAATGAATTAGTTTCTTACAAAAGTCTAAATCACAGAACCGAGGACGTGAGGGTTCCACCGGGAATGAGTTCTAATGGGGGTGGGTAGGAAGGAGGGGGAGGGTGTGTGAGGCCAGCAGTCCATTTGTTGTGACATTGCGATCAGAATTTGTCATACCCGGTTGTTAGAACACCATTTCTGTTGGGCTTTTGCTCCTGCTGACTGCGGCAGTAACTTTCCATAATTAATGACCCGTTCCATTATCGGTCGCATCCTGAGCTAAATTGCTTCTAACGAGTTATTCTTCTTTGTCTTCACTGGGGGTGGGGGAGCACACCTGCAGGAGGAAACTTCTAGAGGAAGATAGCCCGTTTGGTCTTTTGAGGCAAAGTTCTGAGACACTCCGACTCTGAGTATGATAGAAGTCAGTGCACTACAGAACTTTGTCTCTAGAGGCTGTGGTCGCCGCCTCCGCCGCCTCCGCCGCCGACGCCGGGCTGGGTGGCCCTGCTGGCCACGTCGCTGAGCCTTTCCTTTGGGGGAGGGGCGAGGCTAGAGCGGGTTCAAGTGCCACACGAGGAACTTGATCAACTCCTTTGAAGCCAGGGGGTTAAACCATGTAAAGGGGAGAAATCCCCCAAATCTGTTAATCTTACCTCGTGAACACCTCACTTCAGAGGACAGTTTTTGTTTTGTTTTGTGTGTATGTTTTGATTTAAGGGAAGGGGGAAGCTTTGTGTTTTTCAAGGTTATTTTAAAAATACTCAAAAGACTGGCTTCACTTATTGAGCAAGGAGAGCCGCAAGTTTGTTAATGGGTGTGTTGGTGTGCAATGCCTTACAGGAATCTAAACTCTGCACCCTTAAAGAAGGAAATGATTTTGTTCCAAAGCCACGGATAATGCTCCCTTTTCTCAAGTGTCCTGATGGATAAATGAGAGCCTGCAAGGGTTGAGTTTGGAGATCTAGTCTCAATTCTGTTTCTGATTTAGGTCCAGTTTATTCTTATTTTTTAAAGCAGGATTCATTAATGGAAAGGAAGCACTTTTTCCAAGAAAGCATTTTGACAGACATTTAGGGAGGTGGCATTTATACTTTTGGGCTGTGAGATACTTTACATGGAAAAGCTGCTCTTCTCCTCCCTAATGGAATGTGGGTTGTGGTTCGTGAGTTCCTATCAATAGCCTGCTCTGTGCAGTGGGCAGTCACTGGCACTGAATTGTAGACCTGTACCATAGGCATTGCCCTGTTTGGGTTTTATGAGCTCTTGGCTGGACAGCTGATCGATCCAAGGAATTACAAAAAACTCCTTATTAACAAAGGCACTTATCCAACATTATGTGTGTAGTGCCTGCTGGGAGCCAGGGTCAGGGCACAGGGTGATGAACAGAAAGGAAATGGTGTGGGTGCCATGCTGCTGACAGCCAAACCAGGGGAGGGCTTCCTGGCATAATCTGTGGGGAGCTCCAGAAGTCTTGGGGTTGCCTGTTTGTGTGACTGAGAGGTCCTTGATTAAAAAAGAAAGAAAGAAAGAAATCATCTATTTAATTATGTTCCAGCTGATTTATCATTGAAGAGCAGTGAAAATGGAGGAAGGGTAAATGGGGGAAAGTATTCAGTAATTTGGTTAGAGCCTAATGGACAGATTTGCCAGTTGATTTTCCCAGGAGTGCTATGTCTTGGTCCTCAGGTAGCCTGTGTGTTTTGATGTGGCTATTATCCATATTTTCTGCCTTTTCATCAGTGACTGTTTTGCTTAATTTTCTCAATCTTTACCTAAAAGGTGGCTGAATTTTATTTGTTGAGTTAAATAAAATGATTCAAACTCAGGTACCCCTTGTGTTCATTTGAGATGGAAATTACGCTTAGTTGTAAAGAAGATTCCCTTTCCTGATTTTTGTGTACAAATGTGTCCACAAGATATTCTGAAAATACCAAACACCTACAAAACTTAAGCCAACTTTGTAAGAGAATGCATGTGACTCTTTGAGGGGATAGGGTAGAGTCCTTGGCTAAAGAAGTGGTCATCCGTGCAAAGGTTTGGATCAGGACATCATCTCCAAGGAAGGGTAAGGTTTGGAGTCTCCAACAGGGTTCCATCTGGTTTGACTTTATGCTAATATGATTTGCTTAGAAATCTTTGCTTTGTTTCCTTCCTGAGATCTCGAATGAGTGAAAAGACTAACTAGTCTGGAAGGCTGTGGTTTATCTGGGTGCTAAGGATGCCAGGAATTGGAACTAGGAAATTCAGCAGTCTGGAGGTGTTTACTGCAAACCTGGCTTTGTCATCTCCTGAGCATGAGGAGGGATTCGGGCAGTGAACACAATAGGCCCAAATTCCAGCCTTCTTGGAGGTCATTTTTGTGGAGAGAGACAATTAAGTGTAAGCTAGTCAGAAAGATAGTAAGCATGCCAGGGAAGGGTGAGTGTTGTTTTCACCCAGATTGCTAGGTCCAAGAAAATCATCACCAATAGCCTACTTTGAGTGGCTCAAGCTCACCTGCTGGGTGTGGTGGCACATGCCTACAATCCCAGTGGCTCAGGAGGCTGAGGCAGGAGGGTTGCAAATTTGAAGGTTGCAAATTTGAACCCTGGTTCAAAAAATAACA